TTTTGGTTGGTTGGGGGGGGGGGGGGGAGTTTTTTTATTTATTTACTTTTACATTTCGAATTAAATATTTCTGCTAACTCCGGCTCCATCCAGTCGTCAGTTGCATTGTTTTGTTTCTTAGATCATGATTATGCAGGTGATGGGTGATCTTGATCAAGAATCGCCCAGGGACACCTGTGATCAAGGACGCTCACCAAAACTCGTGCGCAATCTCCGATATGGTGTAGACCCGTGAAAGGGCTTGTGTGAATGGGGAGGTAGGACTTCATTACTTTATTATTGCTAGTAATTTATTTACGATGAAACGTTTCTTCTTGATGGTGACAATCTCGCTATAAATCCCAGAGAAAGTGAAGGGCTTAAACATATGCACCGTCAATATATCATTCCTTGTAGTATCTATGGTATGATGCCGAATGACTCAACCCGGATCACCCCTCGTAGGTGGCAGCAGTGGTAGATTATTTTTGGCTTCGGGAGGGTGAAAGCTTATGAAATGTGTAAGTAAAGTATGAATTTTTCTTCAGGCGAGTAAGTCGTACTAGTCATGGATTTAAAGGGAAAGATTGTGCTAGTGACAGGCGGTGCAGCAGGTATTGGTCGAGCCTATTGTGAAGAACTTCTGAAACATGGGGCAAAGGTAAGGAGGCATACCCATCCCTCAAAATACCTTGCATGACACATGTAAATTTTTATTTAATATGTGCATATGCGATGTTTCATTTATTAATTTCAATTTCCAACAATTGCCTATTAAATCTTGCACTTTATTTAGTTGCATACGTTTTGTTTACAACATTGTCACATTGTGGCATAAAATAAAGTTGGTGCATACACATTGACTTAATGACCACATGATTCACATAATCATAAGCTCCTTTTCTGATGCAATTTGATTTTTTTCTCAAATTTCTTCTCTCACTTTTGAATGGATATTTGTATTTGACCACGCCCCTCGGTGCTGCAGGTTTCAGTTTGTGATATCAACACAGAAGCCGGAGAGCAGTTAGTTCAGCAGTTGTCAGCAAAATATGGTAAAGATAAGGTAATCTTTTGCCAGTGTGATGTCACAGATTATCCACAATATGAAGGTATGTCCTCAATATAACAATTGGGCTGTCATGAAAATACGATAAAACAATAAATACTGAAAAGTTAATATTAAAAAACTTCAATGGTATTGTTTTCAGAATCATTCCAAACAACAGTGTCAGTATTTGGTAGTCTTGATATTGTCATCAATAATGCTGGCATTATGAATGACCGCTTCTGGGAGCTTGAAGTAGATATTAACTTGGTAAGTAGAATCATAATTTAAGTTGTGTAAATAAATATTAATTTTGCCCAGTTTTGTGTGTTTTGATGTTGTGCACACTAATATGAGTCTGTGAAATGCTACAAATATGTATAGTGTTCACATAGGTAACTGAAGACAGTGACAGGGGCTGTTTAGAAAGTGCAGCCTGAAATCATTTTTGTTCATGTCTGAAGTATGTGTTATCTGTAATAGAAGTAAATGACTCGCAGATATTAATTTTACCAACATGTAGTAACCATCCAGTACTTTTTATTTGTAACTAATTTGGACAATATAAAGGAAATGTTTTTAGTTATTCTTGATGTTAAACATGATTGTTAACCAACAGAGTTCTGTGGGTGTGAAAGATAAATCCAAAACATCCATTATCTTAAATGCTGTATAACTTATGAATTAATTTGAATAACAGTTCAAATTTTATATATAAAAAATGTTATTATCCATGGTGTTTATTATGGTTTTTTATATTGCGCATTGATTTTATTGTATGATTCTTTTTACACTCACTTGTTCCACAATCTGATCTGGAATGTGCAGAGCACATGAAACCTAATTTGACATAATCTAATCTAAATCAAGGGCCAAGAAATTAAATTTAAATCTTTCAGCCATTTAACAGACTCGACAGATATTTTATAAAACACATATGAAAACTTTACCTGAAATATTAAAATCAAATAATGAATATGTTACATCCTTCAATTTGCTTTGTGCTCCTTGCATCTGATGATAAACCTTATGGCCTTGTTTTTAACTGGAGATATTACCACAGCATGGTTAGTATGATGATGATGTTGAATGTTTGAAGATTTTATTTCTACAAATCACTTAACAGTTTTGTTTTCTAGTAAATTTTGGTTTATAACTAGTATTTTTATGGCACAATTAGAAATTGTTGGTTTCTTGTTAAGACTGTGAGTGCATTGCACAATTTACAGAATGGTATAATCCGTGGCACACTGCTAGCACTGAGATTTATGGGAAAGGACAGGGGTGGTCATGGAGGAACAGTTATAAATACAGGTTCCAATGTGAGCTTGCATCCATATGTCAGCATTCCCATCTATACTGCCACCAAGCATGCAATTGTTGGTTTCACACGGGCCTATGGAGTAAGTATGTCTGTTATCTTTGTCTTTCATTACATCTTAATTTTAATATCGTGTTACAATCTGAGGTGTGCTTGCTACCATTCAGTTCCGTATCTAATGTCTTCGTGTCTATTATCAAAAAATGTAATGAATCGGTATTTGACAGCAGGGTACTGAGGAGGAATAAAGTGACAGGACACTGGATAAGATTGCATAATGGGGAGCTCCATGATTTGTACTTTTAAAAAATATTGTTATAATGATCAAATGAAGGAGGATGAGGTAGGTAAGGTGTAACACATCAGGCATCCATCCATCGACTAACTTTTTATCATATAAAACAAGTGGGTAAACAAAGGAATATTCCATTCCAACTTCACAAAACCTGTGTGGTCAAATACTGTTGGGTCTGTTGTAGTATAAAAGTATATAATTGTAATATTAAACACAACAAGAAAAAACATAGTTGTTGTTGATACAAGGACACTGTTCCAGGACTCATATCACGTGAATATGACAGGAGTACGTGTGATTGCACTCTGTCCTGCTGCAACAGAAACAGGCTTTATTCAAGACGTGAAAAAGCAGCTTCTGTCTTCAGAATATGAGAAGGCTTGGCAGCGTGACACGGCTAACAGCATTCCACAAAAGTAAGTATTGAAACATATTGCCAGGTATCACTCACTGACTTCTATGTGAATGTTCTGTGGACTTGTTTATTATAGTGATGTAATATGCTTTCATGGTTGTAGAAACGAATGTGCAGCGTTCACAAATGGTATGAAATTTAAAGAGTTCATGCACCTGCTCGCATTGATGTCAGGCAACCATCCCATCAGCTTAAATATTTTCTTACAGAAGAATGACTGAGAGAAAAAAGAATAGTTTTGTTTGTGACAGTACTAAAACCTAACCCCCCTCCAGCCTTGCAAATGTGTGGTCAAGTGTCATTCAGTTTCACATTAATTATACTATATGTGAGGTCTCAAGATATAACTTATGTGAGAATACATGAGTAAATCTGAAATGTAGGTCTGACACCAAAAACCCTGATTCTCTGCCTTGTACAGACCAGACCATGTGGCCAGAGCCCTGATACACATTCTTCAGAAAGCTGCAAGTGGTTCTGTGTGGCTGGTTGAGAACAGCCAACCTCCTCAGGAAATCAACTTTCAAAGCCAGTAGAATGTGCCGTTCATCTTTCAGTGCATCTGCATTCTCATGCTCACACTTTTCTAGTCCGATGTACTCATCTGCTGCACAAAATGTTATCATTATCGTAACATTTTGTGATGCTCCACAATAGTACAAATTACACACAACTTTGTTTACTGCTTATGTGTCTTGCTAATAAGTTACCATACATTGCAAAGTGTTGAAGGAATAATATGTAATTGATATCCATTTTTTTCTTCCTTAATTTTCCTCTATGAGGTTTTGGTGGATGTAATTACATGTATTACATTATTTCAGTACATGTATATCAGAACAGGTTTGATTGTATACTGGTGATAATGAATCCAGCCTTTCAAGAAGTTGTGTTGGTTGCATATATTGGTAGCATCATGGTCATTGTGTAGAAATTATCTTTTCCTTTCAGTTTGACCACGATAAATAATGGAGCATTGGACTTAGTCAAATGTAATTTGGTACTGCGATATATCATACACAGACCTACAAATTATGCATGATATTAACCCTTTAGAGCAGAAGTGACATAAGTCAAATTCTTGTAATGTTTTATTAAATTATTTTACTTGTTAATAACAAATTAAAAATGTTGGTTAATTTGGTGTGCCTTCTAGGAGATTTTATTATTTGTAGTATAAATCTATTTTTATTTATTGCAGTGAAGAATTGAAACCACACACCTAAGAGAACTCGTTTTTATAACTTTGTTGACTTGTACCACTTTAGTGCTAATCATCTCACATAGTGTTTGTACATCTGAAATGTAGGTCTGACACCAAAAACCCTTACAAACATGGTAATGATGTGAAACTTGAGGTGTCTGACAGATTTAATGCAGACACAGTGTGAGCATGGTAAATTCTTTGAAAAAATAATAATAGACCTTAATGATACTGATAAAATTATGACACAAAAACAGCCAATAAGAACTGTGACCCAAGTTGGATTTAATCATATGACATAACATGATCATTAGACAAGCCCTAAATGCTAACTTATGAGCAACATTACCTCGTAGGTATAAGTCCATGAGGGTAGTGATTGTAATCAGATATATTTGACTCGTAGGATTTTATTCTGTAGATTTAATAATATTCACGCTTATTGCACAGTACCCTGGAAATAGAAGAATTAGTTACTAATTTAGGAAGGTTTTCAGAATATTTGCTATAAGATTTTAAATCATTAACTCAATCCGAACAATAACATATGCATTCACAGCATTGAGAGTGTTAATGTGTGTGGAAACTCTGTGTACTTTGGCATGGATTTCACATTTCTAATCTTGTTCTTAAAAGCACCACTTTCATATTAAAACTGAATAGTTTACTTAATTTATTGGCTCGTTGATTAACAAATGTTATGCAAATTTATAAATAAGATTTAATTTTAAGATGTGCCATACAAATACAACACAGTAGCAACTGAAGTAAATGTTAGTAACCAGCAGAATTGACACGTGCCAGAGATTCTCATCATTGAATCCACTTCAACAGCAGTTTGTAACCATAGGACTTATCTATGTCTTCAGCATAAGCTTGTTACAGATCCTTGGTTAATGTCTGTTTATTGTTTTCCTTGTTGCATATGTTTGTTTTTTACTTTATTCAGATTCACAGGATACATCAGAATACCTATAACAAAATGTTTTATATCTAAAGCAAGAATCCAGTGTGTTTACAAATTCAGCTAATATTCAGGAACCATGATGATTTTGTGCTAGCAAGTTCAGTGAACCTCTTTGTTCAAGAAATAAAAAGCCATTATGGGCGTTACCTCATCTTATTATTGTGTGTATAACCAATTACAGTTGAGTGAAAATAATGTATCCAAATCTTTAATTGTGTCTTAGTTATGAAGTCTTGTCTTGAGATCTGTCCATGTAAGTATAGAGTTACAGTCAGATGTTTTGAAAACTGATACTTTCCCTAAAATGAACTTAAGGATTTAAATTACCGCATGAAGTGAGTGACACATGCAACTACCATTGCAAGATTCACATGTGAAAATTGCGCCACAACATTGCTTAAGACTTAATGTTTATCTATACACTGCTGAAATCAATGATGAACATCAAATTGCCTAAATAATATCAGTTTTGTGAGGTTTGAGGCTCTCGTGATGACGAGCATGAAGGCTGCTGTCTTTTTGGTTGTGCCATGTAGTATAGTAGAAGTCTACCAATATTTCAGAGCTGCTTGTTGATTCTATTACCATCACCATGGTGGTGGAGACAGCAGGCACCTCTGTAATGTCTGTAAACTTCTACCAGACTCAATGGTGCAACAATCCAGAAGACAGCCACCTTTATATTTTTTTTCTTTGCATTATTCTAATAAAATAAATTTCCTGAGATTGGATTGCCATGTTGAGAAAACTGGGTGTATGACACAGATCATAACCTAGGAAACAATGAAACCAAAATTATTTGTACTTAAATGGTTATTTTTATCCATTCTTAACAACATAGTATTTATTTTCCATGTATATTAGACTGTATGTCATTGTTTCAAGGACTTGCACTATAGTTAAATTGATGATTATTAAATAAAATCATGTGGTTTCTGACTTTTAGTATACTATGTGCAATATGTTAAGACCAAAATTATGCAATCTTAAGTTTTTATCATGTGAAATTTGTGCCTACCCTAAAAGGGGGATGGATTACCTCAAAATGTAAAGTGCTGAGAAAAAGGAAAAAATTATTGATGTTTATAACTTTTTATTCTAAGCACTATAACAACAAGTGAAATGCTGGTCTGGCCAGACATGGGAATGGAGATGATTAACACCATCTGCAGTATGACTGGTATTATTCAGGTTCATTTGGAGTGAGTGATGAGAGTGTTGTGTTAATTTTTTAATGCAAAATACTCTTCATCTGGTTTAAGTGTACGTTCTTTATAATACAACCCGCAGTCTAAATGTTGTGATCCTTAGACTAGTGTTCTAGTGGATTATGATGATGTTCAGGTTATGAAGATATATAAGGCAGTATATCAGCTTTCCTATTTGTTCTAAAGATTACGTGATAGGGGGACTGTCCATAAATCAGACTGGTGACTGGAGATTATTTAAAATTTCACTTAATCTGATAACAGCATTTCAAACATTGTTTCTGATTTTGGAAAATGTTGTGGACCTTCATCCTTTTTACACCATGTAGATGAGAACAGTAGTAATATAAATATAATTAAGATAAATTGCATGTATGATTATTATTAAAATTATAAGCGTTGAGAGAATTTGGATTCACATTTTTATCCGTTGTTCTGTAACATTTTTTATCTTTACTTTCAGTTTATTGAGCTGTGTTTTCTTATATACAAATCTTTGTCCACATAATACCAAGTTCTTACGGTACACAGCTAACAGTTACTTGTTGGTTCAGGAAGATTTTTGTACAGTAATGTGCTCAGTTGGTAATGTAAAACAATTTGATCTCATTCCTGTTTAACAGAATTGTTATACCTGAATGAAAATGCCCTCGTATGTGCTGTTGTATGTGAATGTAAAGTATTATTTTTGCCTTCTGTATTATTTTTCAAATTTGTTTCCATTCCCATACAAGGTTAGTAAAGTATTTAGCAGAATTAGAATGTTTCTAGTTGCCATTGCTGATTGGTGGAAGGCCCCAAAGTTACTTGAGTATGAACTTGATCAGTGTTGTTAAACAAGTAGGTGCTATGTAATTTATTTTTAGTAAATTGCTTGCAAACTCGTAGGTATTCTGTGTATGATGTTAAATAATTCTAATATATAAGGCATGTTACATTAATACTGATGATGATATCAATGTTTGTTCTGAAAAAGCATATTTTTAAATTTTGTAGCATTATTGACGTGTGTTGCTAGTATTTAACAAAAAGAATTATTTTACTGAAGGAAATGTGTTTTAACTCTGAAACATTTAGAAGAATTTTTGTACATGGGACATTTGGAATTACGGATCATACCTGAAACCATTAAAATGTTTAGCCTCTGTCAACTGAATTTTGTACAAAAGTGCATTTTGAAATAACTTTTAAGGGCAAAGGGGTGTTGTCCTTTTGACAAAACAGGGTTGGCAAACTGAAAATGTAATAAATTGGAACTGTGTCCACCTTCAGATAATTTACCATGCAGATCCTTCAGTTCTTGTTAGCAAACTATTGTATAAGTTGTATGGCACTTAATTTTTAAGAAAAAATATTGAAATTGTGGAACATAGACTTTAATACTGAGGTTGATTATATAGTGAATCTCATACCAAATATTAATTCAGGTTTTTAAATAAAATTATAATACTATTAATAATTTTGCATTATAGGGATGGGTTAATTAGATTACATAGCATTTGTATTTGAACTGTATTTATTGAGGTTGTGCAGTAATTAGATTTTATAAATGGGATTAATAAAATTATTCAGCATATTTCATAACTGTAGTTACAAATAATGCTTTTGCATGAAAGAAATAGGTGACTAGAGTTTGTTTTGTAACAAAGGGTTCCTGTTCTTCATGGTAAAGTGGGTAAATCATATTATGCTTCATCATGACTGAATTCATTAGTACATAACAATTTAGTAAATGGGTATTTCAACAGAATTATCCAGAAAATTTGTTTTATGCAAATATTACAAATTGAGTTTACATTTTCTAAATAAATATTTTACTTGAATTGGATGATACAAGATGTCATTTTTAAAAGTGACATAGTGTCTTATTTAGAAACATTGATTGGCTGACAAAGGCACATGACAGATGTGCATGAGTGTCCAAAACTTGACCACCATTGTTTGTGTTGTTGGTTTAGTAGACCAAAGAGTAGTTGGCTTATAATTGGACAGTTACATAATTTTGCTTTACTATGCATGATACTGTGGAATATTGAAGATATTTGTCAGAGGTATTAGTTACTCATATATTCAAATATGAGAAATTATTATAATCCTTTTTCGAAGGAAGTGTTGCTTAACAAAAGGATACACCCATTGATAATAAATGTTAAGAAAAGGGATGTTACATTCTGATATAAATTCAAGTGTTATAAGTCATTATTTAAAATTAAGAATGAATTGATATTATTAGTTCTTTTAATTGATTTCTTAAATAATTGAAATTATAATGATGTTACTATAGAAACACAAGTTGCCGTAGTCAATTGTTAGTTCCAGGGTTCACCTGGAACATACAGTAGCAAGATTCTTCATGTTTACTCCAAACATATCTTTGAGACTCTAAATTAAAGAAAATTGGATATTGATGTGTTATGGTAACTTCATAATAAAGTTATGGTGAAAATGCATTATATTAACGATCTTATGATTTATATAATGCTGTAGATTTTCTTATGTGTGTAGAATAGGAACCCTGTAGGCCTTATGAGATTTTTTACTATATTAATTATAAGTCACTATAGATTTTCTGTTGTGCAGCTCCTTTTGGTGTAAAAGCCAAATCCCTTTCTACATGTTGTAGTTTAAAAGAACTGGATTAGCTTTTTGATAAGAAGTAAAAAGAATATGTTTTGTAACATTTTATATAATATGTAAAATATAAATTTACAAATCTTAGGTTTTACAGTTATAAGCATTATAAAATTTTATTTGAAGCCCAGTTGAGAGATTACATGTAATTATAATGTGTGTTTCTAAATAAACATTTTTTCTAAGCTTGGAATGAAATGTGTGCCATGTTTTTGCAAAATCTTTTAAGAACAAGTGTCTATAAACCGAAAACATATATTCTCTACCAGATATATTGTAAGCACTGCGTAAGATGTGTATGTTTGTATCTTTAAATCTATAATAACCCTTGAATTAAAAATGTAAGTAATGCTAGTATTATCTGTGTAAGATAAACATTATGCAGTAAATAATAGTTTGCTGGTATAAATTTATGATTTTGACATTATAAGTAACTTTATTTATAATAATACTTTTGTTAGTAATTGCATTTATACTGAGACTGGTCTTAATTGTGATGTAGATTCACTAGGGTTCACTGTTTTAATGGGATTATGTTAGCAAAATTGTATGTATATACAAAGAAAATTGTAAACAGGTTATGTTTGTCAATCTCACTACAGGAGAGACCAAACAATGTATATCCTTTACAATTTGTACAGGATTATAAAATGGTAAAGTACTTGAGGGTACTCATAATGAAAAGATACTATGAGAATCTATCATTATATACCTTTATCGTACAGAAAAATGGGATTTAAACCCCTGAATTACAGGGCTGCCAACCAGAGTATGCTGCTGAACACCTAGCAAGCTGAATTCCCAGTTCAACATTTCCAGTTTTCTTTAATTTCTACACTTTATTAATAGATGTACTGATTGCAAAAGAGAATTTTATGTAGTATATGAAAATGTAATAATATAATCATACAAATACATAAAACGTTTTTCACTCCCTTACATCGAATCTGTGTTTAAAACGAACCTAGCTTCCATTAGTGCCATTGACAATTTTTCTATTCTGTGAATGATTTTAACTAGAGAAAGGTATTGTGATAAAGCTAAAAAAGTATTATTTATTAGTGGTGGTGAATGGGGTATAGACGGCTCAGGGCTCCGCGTTCATTACATCTTTGCACGTATTTATAGGAATTGCTTTTTCTCTCTGTATGGTTGCGGTAATTTGCCTTTTGTATGTATATTTAGGCCTACAATTATTAAACACTTTCCATAATTTTTTTCCGCCCAGGGTCTCGCGATTGACGCCGCCGCCAATGATGTGCCATATTCAAGTTTGTTTTTCTCTATAAAGGAACTTGTAAAGTAATACATTTGGTTATTCTTCTGCTTGAAATTTTATTTTCCTTCCCAATATTTTGTAACAAAATGGCGGAGTGAAGATGATTGTCATCTGGGATATTGCGTCGTGTGGCCTGGTTAAAGTTTACCGACGGTTGAAAGGTACTTTCTACCTCCGTTATCAGAGCGAACGTTGGTAAACTTCGGCGCGACATCCCAGAGGATAGTCGTCTTCATACTCTTGACCGTGAGAACCTGACACTTCACAAATTGGCGTCCTGTGCTATGAGTCAATAACATGTTTTTGTTTATATCATCAAAACCTTTTAAGTTATTAACTTAGTGTAACACATTTTTACATTAATGACAGTGATTTTTATGTAGTAATTCAATATGTTTGAATAATTACGTTCAGAAATCAATAGCAGGAAGCACATAAAGTTACGTGATTAACGTAGTGTCAACAACATGGCGGAAATTTTAATTGTTTGAAACTTGTGGTATGGTATAATAACACTCTAAGTAGTGTTGTCAGAGATTTTAATTGTACTGTACAACCAGAAATTATAATAGTCGTATTATAAGTACTAATCACATATTACATTGCTTCATTTGAAATGCCAGTTCTAGTGAAAGATTATATTTGGAGACAAACTGAAAATATGGTGGTGATTCGGGTACCTTTGAACGGAGTGCATTGCAGCAAAGTCGATATATTTTCTTCTGATAACTATATAAAGGTATCTTTCATTGAGTTACTGTTGCATAAAACAGTGATCGTCTATTCAGCATTGTTCATAATTGACTTATCTTTTTGACAGGCACATTTTCATCCTTTTCTGTTTGAAGTATTTTTGTTTTCCTCGGTAAAAGAACCTCGGAGTAAGTGTACTGTGGGAGATGGTAAAATTGTTTTTGAATTACAAAAGACGGAATGTGATTACTGGGAAAACTTGGAAGCTAATTTGAGTAAAGAGGAACAGCGGGAAATGCGTAAGAAGATTTTAGAAAGATCTCAAGAGAATGCAAGAGCTGAGCAGGAAAGAAAGTGTGGTATGTGAAGAATTTAATAACATGGTGTAAAATTAAATATTACTTTGTTGGTTCAATATATTCATAGCTACACTCCATACCTGAAGGTCACCTCCATCCTTAACCTGAGGACAAACCATTGCTGTGGGATCACATTCTGTAGTTAAATTATTAGGCTACTGATGTAGACACACTTCATATATTTTCTCTTAGTTTGCAGTGCAACTTACACATATATTCCCCCCCCCCCTCAATATACTGTTAACTTCCTGTACTGTCTTTATAAGTTAGGTGATGTTGGTCATTGTGATATGTTCTTTATGTACATGAATATATAAAATCCAGTTGGACGTGAGATGAAACAGTTTTCCTTTGATGTTATGATGCTAATGCAACTTTGTATTATGACATCATAGAAGAAAATTTATTTACATTCTATAGATCCTTCACAGGCCCAAACCAAGGATGTAGAACATATCATGTACTGATGTATGTCCTGTGAGCTTCTATTCTTTCCAACATTTATCTGTCTTGCCAATTGTTAGTCAACTGTAAGCTCACATGCCTAAAAGAAAGTCTTCTTTGTTTCATGGAGGTGTTATAGATGATTTGTTGTGACAGTGTTGTATTTACTTGCAGTGAAAAGAGCAGAGTTGGATCGGTTAGCTGTGAGACATCAGATTGTTATTGATGCTAATCAGCGTAAGCGTATTGATGAAATAAAAGGAAAAGTAAAAGAAATTGCCATGAGAGAGCTTGAAGAATGGAAGTCTTCAAATCAAACAAAAGAAACCAAGGGCAAGTATAGTTGAGGATGTATGTCATTTTTAATAGCCTTTGGAGAGCAAATGATAATTTTTTAAACATGTTTCATAAAATGCTATTTTTACCCTTCACTTATTTTTCTGAAGGGAATTCTTGTCCAGGGCATTGTAGTTGACTCCGCCACCACTGGGTTTTTCAGTTTATAATGTGTTTTTTTGTTTTGTTTTGTTTTTTACTCAAAATCTTTCAAATCTTGCCCATGTCAGCATATTTCCTGATTTTAATTAATTGTTTTCTTCATTATCTTCAAGAACATATTTGACTATGTATGCTGTTTCCAGAGCAAGTTTATTCCACTGAAAAACAAAGAATTCTGTTAGCATATTAACCTGTTTGTGTGTGTGTGAGTTCTAGAAGATAAAAGTATGCATTTGAGACACAAGGGAATCCTTTGTATTCACATAGTACCTCCAGTGGACATCGAGAACCAAGTTTTTAGGTTCTGAAGCCAGGAGATTCTTGGCCTGCCAGGTCCCCTTTTTCCGAATACTTTTCCCTGGATTATCAGCTGAAGCAGCCCATATCTATCACTATTTCTCATGATATGACCGAAATATTCCAACTTTCTCTTTTTTATGGTGTTAAATATATATATACATAATTATTTTTTATCCCCCCCAAGTTCACAGCTTGGCAGTTTCAGGTTCTGTAAAACAAGATGTGCCCACTGAGAGGAAGTCAGCAATCTACAAGAAGAACTTTCCTACAAATAAATCCTCACCCGCAGTGGAACCAGATGAAAATGTGAAGCCTGTCCCACTCCCAAGACAAAATGGCACAGTTAAAGTTCACTTCACTGCTAGAGCATTTCCCACACCACAACGGGAGTCCCAGGCTCCTGAAGAAGAGGAGGTAATAAGTTGTTACAAACTATATCAAATTTTAAGCAGTGTGTCTCCTAGTTTTGTTCCTTAATGACCTATTTACTGTGCCATACATGTATTTATATGTGTCATACAGAAAATGTTTACCTTTATGGTAGTGAATGTTTAAATTATTAATTGGACATGAAAATATTGTGACCTATGTTACTAGTAGTTACCAATATAACAATGTATGGAATTTATAGAAAACGTGATAAAATATCGCACACGACAGTGACATGTTAAATTTATAAAAATGAAATGCAAATTTTGGGACCTACAGTGGCAGTATTTTGGTAATGTAATTAACCTTACTGTGATGTTCCACTGTGTGATTAAGTTTTACCCAGTTACTGAGTCAGTGCCTTATATTTTATCATTGTGCATTGTATTAAGTCAAATAATAAAATTAAATTAAATATCTCTCCCTCTTAGTGGCTAAAGAAGCAGGCAGAAGCTAGACGAAGAGTCGGATTTGTGGTGGAGGATTTGAGTCCAGATGAACTGGATCCAGTGTGGCTGAAAGAAAAGGGAGAGTAAGTTTTAACTGCTGAAATGTATGATGTTTAATGCCATCATAAGGAAATAATCACATAGTATACTTAGACATATCATAAGCGAATATTTTGTCTTTAGTCTCACTGCTTTTTAATGCATTTGATCCACAGATTTCCCTAATCCATCTGACTAAAATTCCTTTGATTGTGCCTTAAACTGTTCTTGCACAGCTTTTACTTAATTTTGATCTCAATGTAAGCAGGAGAAGTGTGTTGCAGTCTTTATTCTTTTTCTTTGATACTACAGGTTATTTAATGCTGTTTCAGTAATTTTTTCAAACTTGGCAACTACCTTGGTGCCGTCAGTGCATACAGTCATGCCATCAGTATTGGTAGTAAGATGCCGGCGTTATATATGAACAGAGCTGCTGCTCATATGGCACTTGGAAATCTCCACAAGACTGTTGATGACTGTTCAACTGTAAGTATACACATGTTATGCCTTGAGTATCTTCTACTGCTCATGACACCACTTCATATCCCTGTAAAATCCAGTGGTAATTATATGTACCACCTGGCCTTTTGCCCACAGAGTGTATGAATGGGTTTTGTACGATTCTCAGAACAAAGGGTGAGTATTTCCTTAAATTAACCAATTGATATTTGTAATGGGTCTGCATTTTATTTTATTTGTGATAGGAACTGCATTTTTAAATAATATTTAGATTAGCCTCTTTCTCTTCAGCTTCAAAGGATTAATATATATGCTATATGGTGTTCTTACCCCACTATTACTGGGAGCATCCTGCTTCAGTGGTGGGCTTGCATCAGCAAGCTTTTCTTTCCCCTTTTCCACTTGAAAGTAGAAACAGGCAAGATGTAGCAATGTGTGCACCCTGGGTCACATGACACACATCCACACGGTAATCAAACTCATCCCATCCAGCGCTGTGGAAAAACACGATTGAGAAGCACTCCTACATTCCTGTGAAAATGGGGGGGGGAGCTCCAACCAGTTGTAGAATGTAATCGTCATAATTGGTATTCAGTTGGGGTAACAACCAGCTTTCCAACATGTCCAAAAATGAGTCGCCAGACACAGTTGCACCATTCTTTTGTGTATACCTTGTATGTGTATTGATATTTTGATACTGGTGCATTATCTGTGTAATATGTTATTCTTTTTTGTGGTGATAACAAAGGGCTCAGATAATTAGCCAAAAATTAATAAGGGGCTCAAGCAAACCCCTTTGAGCCTTGTGTAGCACACCCCTATCCTGCTTCCATTCTTTGAACATTCATGATGCAATGTAAAATGCATAATAGATTTAAGAGAAGTATCAGACTGCTAGCCAGCACATATAATAACACTGCTTGGATGATGACATGCAGTTGTTTTGAGGTAATTTCCATTGTAAAATGTAAGTTCTTCAACAGCAAACTTCATATTATTCATGCAGCCATGAACAGATGGCAGAAGTATTCACACAAGATAAAAACATCATGGTGGAATAAAATTTGTTGTTGAGTCCACCTTGACAATGGACTGGATTGTGTTAATTTGCAGCAAATAAAATGTGAACAATTTATTATTTTTATCAGGCACTTGAGCTGCTAACACCATGTGTGGAAATGAATTCTTTGTCGCGTGCTCGCTGTCATGCCCGCCGTGGAACAGCTCTGTGCCGACTGGGAATGATGCAGCAGGGGATGGGAGAACTGAAGGCTGCTGTGGCTCTCCAACCAAATGATGACAAACATAAAATGGACTTTGAGAAGGCTTATACTTATGTTGAGGCAGATGAACTGGAGTGATAGAATTTAGTAACTGTCATATTCCATTTGTAACAGTAACCATTTTGGATTGAAGGGCATTGTTAAGGGTTTAACAATCTGTTGAGATCCAATGACAATATTGTTCAAAACCATTAGGAAAGTTCCCAAAATGTTATACTACTTTTCTTATTTTACTAGGAAATGACATGCTTGTGGCATCATTTCCATTTGCTCATCTGTGTCTGCACAGACTCTGGTACAAAAGTCAACCCACAATACTACATGAAGAAGAAGTGATCATTGTTCAAATGGGTTTTGATTGCAGTAAACCTGGTAGCAGATTTCTCCTAGTCTAGAAGAAACATCTAATTGAATTAGCAACATGTAAGCACAGCTGGGTGTGACACTTACACACCACATGACCATTGAGACTGTAGAAGGGAATATTGGTTGTATGTACTATTATTTCAACAGAAATAGTTAAATCCTGGTGTGTATAGAAGATTAGAAAAAGGGTGCAGTATGTTGAGTTAAAGTCAGGAGAGAGAGTTTTAATGACAATTTGTGTATTATTAGTTATGTCATAAAAGTGTGCTTTCCTTCGAATGCTTTATTCTGCAGTACTAGGGTATAATTTTCCCATATTTGAGTGCCCTTTTTTTTAAGTGAAATGTCATTGCTTCTAAACGCATAATGGCCAATGCTTGTCTGTTTTGCAATACATAATTCATTTCTGGAATTATTTATATTTTGTGTTTGAATTAAGCCGAAATGTATAGTCCTGTAAATTATCTGTGAAAATAAAAGTTCTTGAATTTGAACTACAAAGCACGGAGAGGGAAATTCAGTTGGCAAATATCTCTGTGACATATTAAACTGTGGCCAATATTGTGATGTTGGTATTAATCTATTATATTGTCATCCGTGTTACAAAGTAACGCGAAAAAATGGCAGCCAGTATTGCCGGTGTATTTGAAGAGAATCTAAAATCTGCTGTTGAAACCGCCAAAGTTTTGGTTGTGGGTGCGGGAGGTATTGGCTGTGAACTTCTGAAGAATCTTGTGCTCTCAGGTTTCAAGGATATAGAAATTGTAAGTTAGAAAATGTAATGATATATTCGATACATTTTTCAGGTCTGTTTGAAATTTATTTTTGAATTTGACTTTTAAAGTAGTATTGGATAGCATACTGTATTGATTTTATTGTTTAGGTTTCATACCTTTAAAAGCCAGTATTGTGAAACTATAGTCTAAAATTTGGATAGAGGTTAGGAGTGAACTGGACAACAAAGCGGCCTACTGAACGATCTAGTCTGTGCGTCTGTTTCTTATCGGAGGCAATTTTTTGCAAAGAAAGTCGTTTGTCTTTTACAGTATGACCAATACACCAGGCTAATGTTGGAACGGTTGTTTATCCGCCCCCCCCCCTTTTGTTGAAAATTTGTAATTTCTCTAAAAAAGGGGATGGAGATTATAGAATACAAGAATTTTTTTACATTTTGTAGATTCTTTATAGGCCCAAGCCAAGGATGTAGAAAATAACAACACAATATATATCTATGCGTGCACACACACATACATACATGCACACACATTTTCTGTGTTATGTTCTTTTGAGCCCATGATAGAGCTGGCCTCAGACCTGCACTGAGGCTGACTCAACCATGAGGCCCAATAGATGGGCTCCCCCCATTCTTTCCTGAAAGTGGAAGCAGAATCCAACTTCTGAAAGGTTGTATTTTTATTGTTTTATAATTTAGAGAATAGACATTACACAAGGGCAAATTTAAATTTTTTAAAATTTAAGTTATAAATTTGTATGCTAAGAAATTTTATAGTAATATGTACTTCTTCAGTTGTATTATCATCATAACTCAAATTCATATAAATACGTCTTTTTCTTCTGTGGATTTTATGTTTAACATGGCTTTGTTATATAGATTTTGTGTTGGGGTGAATTTCTTAAGGTTTTACTCATTTTTCATTCCATATTTCTTCTAAAAATTGATTTTGGGTCTCAAATGATGTAGCTCTGCCTGATGTAATGTGTGAATGCCTTTTTACCTATTGTTTGCAATTGTATAGGTTGCTCTGTTGTATGGCTTAATAAGTTGGTTTTTTCTAACTTTGTATGGGAGTTTTCAGTATAATTTGTGTACATTTTTATACAGCAGAGAAAATTAGTTTCTTTATTTAACTTGTTACTGGACATGTCATGTATGGTACCCCTGTAAAAACTTCAAAATTAGAAATATCAAAGAATGGGTATTTAAAATTTGAGAGAAATTTCTTTTATAAAGCCTATAGACACAAATCCAAATCACCTGAAGAAAAATTAGAATGTATAAATCCCCAATGAAATGGAAACCCCCTAGGGTTATAATGCTATTCCTCTGGAATTTTTATGCATACTTCTGGTAAAAAGATATGAGCTAGCAAATTGTTAAAATTGTTAAAGACCTGAAGGAAAGAGATTACTTAGAAGATCTAGGTGTAGATCTCAGGATAATATTAAACTGGATTATGAGAAAAAATGGGTAGAATAATTTGGCCTTTATGGCAGTTAACTAACTCAGAAGTGAAGAGATGCTCATCTAATCAATAAATCTTTGTTGTTGTTTATTTTTATTATTTTTTATTTATTTGTACTCCAGAGGTTCCATACTGTCTTTACAAGAGCTTGCTACTGGTGCTTATACTGAGTGAGATGTATAAAGAAAAGCAAACATAAGAAATGGGAGACAACTTTTTATGAGGAACTGTGTAGAGAATGTGGCCAGTACTTGAATTATCAGTGTTTCAGTCAGTGACATTTTTGTCACTGTTATACTGTTATCTTTTCTGCAGTTTAGTGATTTTTCTTTTCAGATTGATTTGGATACCATTGATGTGAGCAATTTAAATCGCCAATTTCTGTTTCATAAGCAGCATGTTGGAAAATCCAAAGCAGCAGTTGCACGGGAAAGTGCACTGACATTTAATCCTAATGCATGTATCAAAGCATATCATGACAGTATAACATCGTAAGTAATTGTAGTATTTGTTATACCTATTTTGAAATGGGATCTTAATAGGTCCTTGGTTTATGTATCTATTTTCCTAGAGTTTCCTAGGTTTTACTGCTGTAAGCACCTCAAATCTGACATATACTTTGTCATAATTTTGACATTACTGCTTTGGGAATGTACTTTTTTTTCAGTTTTTACTATTATAGTAGCCGAAATTTTCTTTGCAGCTCTGAATATGGGGTGAGTTTCTTCAAGAGATTTGCATTGGTGATGAATGCCCTGGACAATCGTGCTGCTCGGAACCATGTCAACCGAATGTGTTTAGCAGCTGATGTGCCTTTGGTTGAGAGTGGGACAGCAGGTTATGATGGTCAAGTCGAGTTAATAAAGAAAGGTCTGACGCAGTGTTATGAATGTCAGCCAAAAGCAGCTCAGAAAACATTTCCAGGGTGTACCATTCGCAATACACCCTCCGAGCCCATTCACTGCATTGTATGGGCAAAACATCTGTTTAAGTAAATAATTACGTTATTTTGTATGTTTATGTGTGTGATTATGAGAATGCAGTTTTATGTGTGGCTAGGATGATACATGCATTTATGTAAAAATGTTACTATAATTGTTGACCTCAGATGTGAATTTGCATACAGATGTATGTATTATTTATAATCCAGTTTTTCCTCATTTTTTCATTGAAAGAATGTGGTATTAGTCATCTGTATTTTGAAAATAGTTTGAGCTTATATCACAACTGTGTATTTATGCACCAAATTGAGTGGGAGAATTACCACAAATGATTACTAATAATTTGGAAGGAGGCAGTCATTTGGTGTATTTGAAGGTACTAACTCAGCATTTGCCTGGTGAGCCTGAGAAAAACTACACATTATCTCAGTCTGAATAGCCTGACAGAGACTTGAATTGGGTAGCTCTTGAAAAAAAAAAAAAGGTTTACAGCCATAGTTTTCATGATGTAGCTTAGTAAAGTCACAGAAGACTTTGATTGTGATGACTTGTTTAGATGAGATATCAAGCTGTCACAGCAACAAATATGACTGTCTTTTTCAAGATTTCTTTCTACAGCATTTGAAATTATGCTCATGTGTAAGTTTGCATTTTTTTCAGTCAGCTGTTTGGAGAAGATGATCCTGATGAAGATGTGTCACCTGATATGGCAGATCCAGAAGCTGCAGGTGAGAGACTGTAATTCTGAAAAATTGTTAAATCGTATCTCATAGAAGGTTTCTAGTATGGTAACACACCATATTGTCACAAGCTTCTGTCAACTTGACTTGAAGTTAAACCCTTCTCCTTGCAGCACTGTATCCAGCTTTTAGCAGATGGTTGGTGAAGTGCCCTCTGACAGAGTATTTTTTGTTTGGCATGTACTGTATATAGCTTGACAATTTTTTTGATCAGGTGGTGCAGGTGATGCTCTTAAGGTTGCATCAAATGAGAAAGGCAATGTGGAGCGTGTGTCAACACGTAGTTGGTCACAGTCTTGCAAATATGAGCCAGAGAAACTCTTTCACAAGTTGTTTCATGATGACATCAAATACTTACTCAGTATGGATAACTTGTGGAAGAAAAGAAGACCTCCAACGCCTCTTCTTTGGGGAAATCTTCCAGATGCTGGTAGGCACTAATATTGATTCTCATAGTAATTGTAAATTGTGTATCCATCTTTATGATTTATAGGTCTTCTAGCTGTGTGTAATTAAATCATCATCTGTCAACATTTTCACTAGTCCTCTTGCTTTTTGTCAGCATCCAGTTCTTTGTCTTCCCAGTGGTAATTTGTCATTGTCAAATGTTTTCAGCTCATTGCATGCCTAGTGGACAGTTATTCTTTGTACCTTATCCATGTTCTTGTTTATTTAATGTTTAAATTCTGGCTCTAATATGTACTTATTCAGATGTTATTGTAATTAACTTATTTATAGGTCACAAGAATATCTTGTATCCCAGCTTTATCAAAATTGTACTATTTGCTGTTGTCACTCCCAGACCTTCAGGACTATAAAGTGTTTTTGCTACTAATTACAGTATTATAATAGAAGGAATTGCAAATAATAATAATAAAGTAAAAATAGCTTTCACAATTTTGAGAATATGTTGAAATCAAGGCATATATCCAGTGAAGACAGAATATTTTTATATACATAATATACAATAGCTGTTGTGAAAGAAAAGCTATTTTGTGAAGTGTGTCAAGACTAACGCTTGAAAGCTGTTTCATAAAGTTAACATATCATTAGTTGCAGGCTGCAGCAGAAATGATATAGAGAGTGTATTGAAAGATCAGAAAAACTGGAGTATTGCTGAGTGTGCCCAGATATTCGCTGACAGCTGCAGAAATCTCAAGAATCAGTTTGAGGTAAAAGCTTGTAATTACTCTTCTTTGGTTCATGTCTAGTGTCACAGTCGCCTTTGTGAGAAAGGGATGTCAGCTTCACTATCATCATGCAGGGAAATATGAAAATGAGGGTACTTAAAAAATACAGTAACAAACATTACTGTGTGCAAGAATTTATTCTCATACATGCATGTGTTACACATAAGAATACTTTGGTGTACAACACTTTTCCACATAGTTGCCACGGGTGTTTGAGCACCAAGGAAGAAATCATTGTGAAGCACCTTTAACCCGGAAACAGCTTTGTGCTGCACTCCAGTATCAGTTGCATATTTCCTACCAGCCATTTGCTCCTACAGGGATCTGAAGATAGGAATCATTTGATGCAAGGTCAGAAGTGTGTGTTGGTTAATCCAGATTTTCAGTTTTCTTGAATGTTTTTCATGTATTGTGTTGCAGTCATTGAAGGATGATGATCACTTAGTTTGGGATAAGGATGACAAGAATGCAATGGACTTTGTTGCATCGTGTGCAAATATACGAGCTTACATATTTGGGATTTCTCAGAAAACACGTTTTGATGTTAAATGTACGTATACTGTTCTTTAAATGTGTAGTAATTTAATAAGAGAAGTAGGCAGAGTAGAGGAATTTTCAGACAAGGAACATATTTTAAGACAATAAATTGGAAACTAATGTCATCAGTCTCATTGTTAATGACTTTCAGCTGAGGACAGTACACAAAATCATAAGATACTTGTGCTATTTTAGTCTGGCAAATATAAAACTGGCATTTTGGACATTTTTCATTAATGATGCCATATTACCAAAATGTGTTTGTTTATTAACATGTTTTTGTCACAAAACTAGTGTAGCAAATATGTTTATTGTTTATTTGGCTGTAAAATTGAAATCATGTCAACAATATTGAAGTTCTAAATTGCAACCTTTGGGCCACAACCTTGTGAGCTTAAGTTTATTTACAACATTGTAATGTAATATAATTATATGTACCCAGTACAGAAATTATTAATTTGGTTTTATAAAAATAAGCTAGCAATTATAACAATTTTATTTCAGTTCTTTTAATTTTTATATTATTTTCCAATTACAAAAAAAGTTTATAAACTTCATTTTGTTTAAATGTGGCTGACTTTCTGTGTGGGACTTCTAGTTCTTTTAAGTTCCAGAAGTTAGTATCAGTCCTGGAAAAACAAATCAGAATTTAAATTGTAACGTGTGACCAGAGTTTAGAACAGTTACTGGCTCTGTATTGCTTGTGTAAATGCTATTATTACTTTTAAAGAACTGTACATTAAATTTCTACATTTAACTATAATTTAAACTTATCTTCCCTCTCAAAGCTATGGCCGGCAACATCATCCCTGCTATTGCGACTACAAATGCTATTATAGCTGGTGTTGTGGTGCTGCATGCCTTCAACATATTGCAGAATAATTTGGAAAGTTGTCAGACAGTATACTTGAGGCCCAAACCCACCCACCGAAACCAACTGATTGTGCCAGAAAAGTTTCTGAATCCTCCAAATCCAAAATGCTATGTCTGTTCTCCAAAACCTCAGGTTTGTTTCTGCTGTCTTTTTTTAATATTATTAGCTAACAGAATATTGTTTACTAATTGTATCTTAATATATTTAACATGTTTCCTGGGTTGTAGTTGAACACTCGGTTATTAAAATTATGTTACAGAGCTGCAGATATGCTCACTGAAGATTTTTATTCCTCCATTAAATATCTGCATATCATATTATATTATGTTATGTTGTATTGTACCCATGAGTACTGAGTTTGTTTTAGCTGTATTGAATATGTTTACATGACCAAAGTTTTATCCTGTGATAAACTGCAGAATGGGTGATGTTTTCCAGGTTACTCTCTGTGTTGATGTAAACTCCATGACAGTAAAGGATTTAGAGGAGCAGGTGTTGAAAAAGACACTCAATATGGTGGCTCCAGATGTAATTCTTGATGGAAAGGGAACTGTTATCATTTCTAGTGAAGAAGGTGAAACTACAGAGAATAATCTAAAGAAGCTTGAAGTAAGTTAACTTTGTTATAGATAGGTTATAGTCGCGTGCTTTTCGCTCCTAATAAATTTGCTAAGAAACCTCTCAAAGTCAATAGATGCAGATTTGAAAATAATGCATACACCTGCTTTATTTTATACATATATTATGTATTTGTATAACCACTGTGGAATACAGTTACTAGAAGTAAAGAAGATTGTTGAAGTAAAGGAGTTTACCTTATTCCAGATAGATATCTTGTACAAGATTTAAATTAGTGAGATTAAATATTTAATGAAGAAGTAAACTTTAATTGTCTTATGGCATGTTTTTTTATCATTAATAGAGGCAAAAGATGCATATGGGAAATACAAATACTTCAGATCAGGGAACACCTTTCCATTCCCCTTTATTTTATAGTTTTTAAAAGACAAGCTTGTATTCTACAATCATGAAGCAGTGGTTATACAGGTTATAAGCTTATATGACTGAAATAGTTATTATGCCCTTAAGTTTTGTACATTTCAGTTGCAATTTTTTCTGGAAACTGCATGGAAATCTTTAATTTTTATGTGTCGAGACAAAGGCCTTCATGACTCCAGCTTCATGTGTACCCATTCTGACTGTGCTTGAAGGAATATAATTTTTATTTCTTTTTTAGGAGCTTGGAATTGTGGATGGAAGTGTTTTGAAGGTGGATGATTTTCTTCAAAACTATGAACTTAGCATTACAATTGTTCAAAGGTAATTGAAATGTGAAGATACTGAAATATTTGTATAGCTGTTAATTTTTAGGTTATGTGAAAAATATTCTGCTTAAATACAGTAAGAATAAAGAAATAATTCTCTGTAATATAAAGGAGAATGACAATTTTAAAAGAATATGAACTTCTTTAAAATGTAAACAATTTTTATTGTCAATTTTGTAAAACTAATGTGCCAGTCTCATGGAACAATGAACTGTAACTCAGATACAGGATGTTAGAATATATGCACGGATTGTGAATTATTGTAAAAGTTATGACTGACATTGTATGAGTTTGTACAACAAAATAATTTTTGCAAAAATGTGAGTTGTTTCAAATGTACATTGCTGCAAGTCTCCAAAGATGATAAATTCAAATTATCTCTCCACAGTTAAAGACATTTATTTTTTGATATTCATAAATCTGTGTATAATAGTACTCATGCTTCTCACTTCATATACAGGTTAGTTCCAAAGGATGGACCTGATTTTGATGTTGTTGCTGATTCATCCCAGCTAAAGCCAAAGGAAGATAAAGCAGAATCATCTGGAGCTAATGGTATAAAATATTATGCTGCTTTTGTTTCTTGTATGCTAGTCTTTTTCTCCAGCAAACCATGTTACTCTGTTTATATAATAATTAATTTTTAGATTCTGTACTCAAGACAATCCAAGGATGAAACTTTGTGTAAGAAATACTGGAAAAGTAGAGAAGTTAAAATCTGATTGCAGTGTGTTTATACTGTTATAACTATAAATAAAAAATTTAATATATATTGAAATTGTATCCTGTCATACACTTTATGTTTATGTGTGTGCTTGTCATACATATGTTCACATATATAAGCAACCAGTTTTACCTTAGTTTTTTAGGTGAAATGTCTGGAATACATGCATTTTTATGCTGTTTCTCTTTTTCAGGTTATTTTTTGAAAAATAAATGCAACAGTTTTGTTACATATTAAGGTTTTCTTGATTGTTTGGTTGTATTTTAAATTACAAATTTGGTAGAATTCAAATGTGTAAACCAGAACTTAATAGTCATTCAGTTTCTGTGATTATTCTCAATGTGTTTTGTTAGGTGCATCAGATCAAGATGATGATTTATTAGAAGTGGTGGAGGAACAAAATCCCAATTTCACAACTGCAGATTCCAAAAAGAGAAAGACAGCTGGTGAAACAGATGATGGCATTTCAAAGAAACAAAAGACTAAAGATGTTGTTCTTGTTGTTAGAGGCGAGATATAATTGTAAGTATTGTGGGATCACTTAATTTTGATTTTAACCAAACACAAATTATTTGAATGCACAAGTCATATAAGAAGGACAATAAAAAATGTAAATGTGTGAAATGTAAAAGGGCTTTGCTATTAAGTACTCCTCAAATGAACCTTTCAGTGCTCAATGAAAGTGGAAAACTATAAGGCATGAAACCAGAGTAATTATTTGTAGTGATACTAACATAAAAATTATGTTCATCAGTTCAGAGAGTTTATTGTTACATTTGATTCCATGAATGTCACTCATCTACTACCAGGAGCAGCTACTAATTATTTTCATGTATCTGTAATGTAAAATCTGGCTGCCTCTGCCATTTTTTTCCATCCTATCTGCCTGGTGGTTGCTAAGAGACCATACAAAGTACACTGTGTAAAGCAAGCTATGTCCGCTTTGTTTCATTGCTAGGCAGCCATATGGTTTAATACATAAATCAGTTTATTGGTTATTTACAATTCTTATGTTTGATCATCACTCTACAGGTTATGAATCTTACAAATTTATTGTATCTTGGCAGAACCTGTGACTTCCTTAGTTCTGCAGAGGTATTTATATAATACAGGTTTAAAAAGTAGGGCATATCTCAGAAGCAGTCTTTGCAACAAAAGGCACTGAAATATTTGTGTTATTACATTTTACAGTGTAATGTGTATTTGGAAGATATTATTGAAACTGTTTCTCCAAATTTAATCTGTAGCACTGAGAAATGTATATGCACCAAACTTCATTAATTTGGAGTGCTTCAGACCGAAAAATATGAACTTAATATTAGTAGACTTTGAATTATCCAATTTTCTATACATTACATGCTGGTTTTATTAATTGAAGCTAGTGACATTAATAGTGTAATTAGTAATAAAATAATTCTACAAGTGAAATGGAGGGAATGTTGCTAATATTACATAAACTATATCAGTTGCTTAAAATGAAATTTAAACATGAATGTTGAGTACATCTGGTCACTTATTGTATGAAGAATGATTTAGTACTGAATGAATTTTGAGTTATCCGATAACAAATTAATTGGGTTTTACGTAGAATTTACACAGTGAAATACCCATTTAATATTAAGGTTTACTATCCTACATACTTTATTTCAGTTATTTTTGTTGTTTAAATCCATTATCCGTTAGGTTAACAATGAACAGAGATTTCACTTGGGCAGTCACAGTTTAGGCATGTATTATGGGGTAGCATTTGGTACTGATAAATCTGTTTGTCCACTCTTGTTTTGTGCACAGTTTATATACAGTTGTGGTGAATAATGGAACATTTCAAAGTCCATACTATAAATTTCATAGAGGGCGCTGACTTGTTCTGAAAATAGTTGCTGAAAATACTGACAAGTGATATTATAATCAGTTGGTCCGCCAGAAGTTCGTTGAAGGTGCGGAAGACTCGCATTTAAAAGTTCTAGCTCCATATTGTGCATCACTGATACTTCCTTTTCATTCGAAAAATTTTCCATTTTTATGATGGCATCATAATGAATAGCACAAGGTTTACAGTGATCACTGTAACGGTTCCAGTGAACATCATATTTTTTGGGTGGTATTACAAGTAACCACTCTACAAACTCTTGAAATGTGGGCACAATGGAAAGCTTTTGGTTATGGTTAATATCAAATATTTTGTTACGATTTAGTACTGGTCTTGTGAGAGCAAAAATGCGCGGAACATAAATCCACGCTTGTGAGGTGAATCTTGAAGTATCTTCAATCCGATCACGGTAGGCAGACACCAGGCGTTCAAATGGATGTCTCACTACAATTAATTTATAATAGTCTTTTGTTGTTATTATTCCATGAAGTTCTTCTGCACTCTTTGGAGACAAAATTCTTATTTCCCTATTGTGAACATAAAAAAGATCATCATCATCATCATCGTTACAGGTTTTTGTTATTAAACTGTTCCAGCTGCAAGCTTTGTATTCAAAATTGATCTTTCCTGCTTTCATGTGATCATCCTCTTCTGTCTTTTGGAGTATACTGATGAACTGGCATCAGAGTAAGTTTTAAGAAATGTTGGTTATAATGAACACTTTTTTTTCATCATTTCCCATACTTGTAATTCATTTCGGCTAATTATGTTGAAATCTGCACCTTGCTAAATCATTATGCTATTCTTGTACTGTTACTTGCATATTATTTCTGTTGGTTAAAATCTTGGCATATATTTTACAAGTCATTTAATTGTAAATTATTCGTTATTTCTATTAGCTTTCCTATAACATGACATAATTGTTATTTTAATTCCTTATGTGTGTTACCTGAGCATTCTGTTTGCAACTAATGTCTTAAATTCATGGAGAATTGTGATACATGAGACTTTCATTTGGGACACCTAATTCAGAATTTATACCAGCTAATCTGACTTTTCCCACTAATTCCTTTTTAAGTATGCCAGGATGGTGCCTTGAAATTGGTCTCTTCATCATTTAGAATCATAGTCCCATCTTATTTGTTACTAATATATATAACTTCTAGGTGATATAGCATAATTAGCCAAAGATGACATAAGAGTAATAGTAGTAAGTAATACCAGCAGCATACCATAATGTGGCATGTTTTGATGAGCTGCATAACCATCAGTGTGCTATAGACTTTACTTTGGTCAGAAATAATACTGTATTCCCATGCTAACACATTTTGAGTTATGACATCCCACTAATAATTCTCTATCCTGTTTCAGATGGTCAGCACATGTATTGTCCTAGTTGAAGGGTTAAAATAAAATTTACCTGTAATATTCATCAATATGCGTCCTATTAGCAAGGTGGCTAAATAATGCAATCCATGAGGTAGATGCTACCTTGTGAATCCAACAGTACAGCAGTTTGTGTTCGTGATTTACCAGGAAGTGACGTCTTTGCGGTAGCCTCAAATCAACCTTGACTTGTGAGCAGATATTTTTTGTTTCCTCAGGGTGGAAAGTCTGTGCTGTCTTAAAAAGAAGACAAAGTTTCATTTCTTTGATGATATGCATTCATCCTTTCATGAATTTTTAATTTCTGTGAATGTATAATAAAGTTTTTTTAAAATAAGGTGTTTGATATGTGTTTTGTGTACTGTCTTAAAATTAAGACAAAGTTTCTTTGCTTTGATGATTTACATTAATTTTTTAATTAATTTTAAATACCTGTGAATATGTAATAAAGTTTTTAAGGTATTTGATATGTATTTTGTACACTGATACAGTTTTCACATATTTGGTGCCAGAATTGTCTAATATGGATATAGTGTTAAAACAAAATATGTTATCTGTGCATGGTGGCAAACTAATGGTAATGATTTTTGTAGCATTAGTGATGAATGATAATTGTTAGCTTCTGCAGAGACTGAGTAAGTTAATTGAAATATAGGAGGTACCTTTTAAAGGTGCTACACATATGCACATAGTTAAGGAAAACTTGAATTGGCACAGGTACCAGTATTGGCATGTTTGGCATGAATACATTCTTGCCCACTTCTATTGTTTGTAGAGAATTACACTGATATAGGAGTGTTCAAGTAGAATATTTCTGTGGTAGTGATTACATAAGAGCTCTGTTTGTGGATACCCCACTCTGTGATGCCTGTCATCACTTCTCTGCAAAATGAGTGCCACAGAAAAGATTAGCTGAGACAGTCACATGACTGAATTAAGGAATATGTTCTGTGGTGTGTCAGTGAGTGATACAGGTATGTTATAGAGAAGGTTTACTGAGGTAGAATTATTAATGCCAGACTCTTACTGGGTCTGCCTAATCGTCCTCCTAGCTGCCAGTCATACAAGCAAAAATTAATTTGTTTTGTGATGCTAATATAATAGATGCAGTGGGTAGAACCATCATCAAGTCAGTATCTCTCATTTCTTCTGCTTGTTTTGTTTTCTTAATAGCCCTTGTATGCAGCTGCAGCACCATTAGAAAGCACTTCAAGATCAGAATTCCTAATTGGTTGATTCCCATATTGTATATATGTTGTTAGCTTTCATGTGTTGGCTGCAAAAGCAAACAGAATGGATGTGTAATAGGGAGATCATGTTTTCTTATCCATTGATTCATCTTGGAATTACTCATTGGTTTTCAATTAACTTTGTTATTTAGGGGTTTATTTTCTGTAACTTAAATTTTGGTTTGTGTAAGTCATATTGGTCATATTTTGCATGAAATTGTAATCACTCTTTGCAAAAGAGTTTGTGAACTGTCTCAGAGATGTTAAATATTTTCATTATATTCTCTTATCAGATTTGTAAGTGAAAGGCTGCAAGAGAATACTGTATGCTGAAGTTGATGAATATGAATAACTTATGTCAAAATATTTATATTATTAAGGAAAGTGACAAATTTACAAGATTCATGTTATATTGCAGCTATGGCCAAAATCTGATTAAAATATAATTTATGACAATAATAATAAAAATTTAAATTGCTCATGCAGGCAATCATGAAGTTACTTTAAATTACTAATGTAAGTGAAAAATGCAGTCAAGCTATGCAGTTCTTGGAAAACAGCTTTCTCTGAAGTAGAATATTGTTTTGTATATATACTTACAGATCCTTTGGTACAGGGCTTTGATAAGGCAGTAGATATATTATTTTTAAGCCAGTTTAATTTCTTTGATATTATTTTCTCATTCCTGTTTAATTGAAGTATGCCTCTGGATATGAAAGTTAAATTAAGTGACACAATTAACACAACTATTATTAATATGCATTTCACTGATTTTTTAAGCCTCAAAATGAAAGTGCAACTCATGGTTTCATTCTGATTGAGGTTTGAATTTAACCTTTGAAATAATGGAACAATGTTATGTGCACAATGCCTTGCAGAGCATTGGGAGGAGCAGTGTGATACTGTCAAATTGAGTTTTCATGTAACCATAGTGGGAGGATGGAGATACTGGAAGGGAAGTAGGTTTGCTGATAAGATGGGCCTTATCTTAAGTCCAGCAAGTCTTTACAAATAGTTGCATGGGCTTAGAAAACTCCAAATGTTAGAATAAGCAACATAATAGCAAAGGTGGCATATTGTCATCTCTTGGATAATATAAAGTTTTTAGCCCTGGTTGATCAGAACGTTGGCTTCCCTCAACAACTGAAATCTGACATGTGTGTCCCACTCTGTTAATAATATGATTCAATAACTGCCAATTCAAAGAAAAATTCAGTCCATTTCAGATTATAATACAAACACCAAGTTAATTCTTAAGGCGGTAAATATTGGAAACTGTCAACGTAATTACTGGTAAACAAAATTACCTGTGGTCGTAAAGCATTCATACAGGTAAAGCTCTATATATTATCGAAAATGCCTAGGCATTTGTATTTCGTTTACATCGCAATGTTTACTTCTGCAAACTCTCCTGTTTGCTTTAATAATCCTGTTTATGATTTTATAAGAAGAATGGGACGGCAATGTAGAGCATTCCGATCAATTCCGACGGTCATCGCACTCCGTGAGAAATTTCGATAGCATACTACGGAATACATTTTCAAATGTTGGTATTGCTAGAAAGCAGAACAAATAACAAAAGAAACATTTGATGTGTGTGGTATCTGCTTATGCATCATTTATACTAGAAAATGTGTTATTATTAATTTCATATCTTATAAGGTACATATAAAATTTAATACGTTCTGTTTAACTATATGCTGTAATTTGATGTTAATTTTTTTGGTTGTCACCTTATTAAGAGATATAATTACAAATTTATAGCAGTGTTTATGTAATGCCGAAACCGGTAAATAACCTTTACACTTGGAATTACCAAACTAATTTTATTTTACCTAATCTTTCTTTAGAATATGGGGCAGCCCTATCCTGAAGTTCATATCTACCATCAAAATTAGGAGGTGTAATTAAGATTCGGTAAATTATGGAGGATGGTGATATGGACGCTAATAACGATGGAGAAAATCTGAATCTCAGTTTTGGTGAAGAAATGGGCGATGAATTAAAATTGGACGAAATGCCAGAGTATGACACCCGCAGTGAGGTGAGTTCATCTTCATCGGATAGTGGCTCAAGTCAACCCAGTATAAGTTCTGTCAGTTCTGATTCATCTGACCGTAAAATTAGACATTCCAGGCACAGGAGGGATCGTTCAAGAGACAGGAAGAGCCCGACTCCAGAGGTGAAGAGGTCGAAGTCAAGAGAAAAGGGTAAATCTTATGACTATATAACAAAACTGAATTACTTATTCAGGGATGCTCGGTTTTTTGTTATCAAGAGTAACAATGCTGAAAATGTGACTCTTTCAAAGGCGAAGGGGGTGTGGTCTACTCTTCCACAGAATGAGTCTAAACTGAATCAGGCATACAGAGAATCTAGAAACGTTTTACTTATTTTCTCAGTGAAAGAAAGTGGGAAGTTTGCAGGTTTTGCACGGCTTCATGGTGAATCTCGTAGAGATGTATCTCCAATATCATGGGTTCTACCTCCTGGTCTTTCAGCCAAGGCTCTTGGTGGAGTGTTCAGAGTGGACTGGGTCTGTCGTAAGGAATTGCCATTTAATTCCACAATGCATCTGTATAATCCGTGGAATGAAGGTAAACCTGTTAAGATTGGTCGTGATGGCCAAGAGATTGAACCTAAAGTAGCAGAAGAGTTGTGTCGTCTGTTTCCAGTGGATGAGGGGATAGAAATGACTCCTATACTTAGGAAATCCAAGGAAGCAGCAAAGATGGTGAGGCCTCGTAGTTCACGTTACAGATATGATATTCAACACAGGCACATAAGCAGTAGTCGCTTTTCACCTAGATCATCATATAGCTGGCGTGGCCGTGGAGGTTCCTTTGGCAGGGGGCGTCGGAAATATTACCTAAGTAGCCGTAGTCGTATTGGCAATAGTGGCAACATTTACAAAAGTTCTTCATCTACACGGTCACGTGACAGATTCTCATTGTGGTTTGGCAGTCCTAGAGACAGTAGTAGACCATACAGTGGTGCAGCTGCAGCAGCTGAAGCATATGTAGCAGACTATATGCGATCTCTGCAACACCAGCTTCCACCAATGCCATATGCCCCTCCACCAGGGATGTATGGTTCCTCAGCTTCATCTCCATATGATGCTATGCCTCCTCCCCCACGCTACTATGATGGTTTGCCACTTCCAGAGTATTCACTGCCATCCCGGTCTAGCAGTCATTCAGACAAACGTTCTTACGATCGCTCTGTGGATGAGTTCTTGTGGCGAACAAGTGAGAGAAGAGACCGTGACAGAGATCACCATCGCTATAGGGAGCGACGGTAAGACTGATTTATTGTGTTTGTTCCTAGACTGTATTGTGCAGTGTTTGATTTTGTATCTTGCACTTCAGAGATCGCCATATTGAATGCAGTTAAGATTCTTCATTGTGAATTGTAGCAGAATACAATTGCTGCTCTTTTGTAGTGTGATTCAAGTGAGTGAGTGAGTTATCAAAAACTGGATATTGTTAAGTAATAATAGTAGAAGTGTTTATAATACACACTCATCTGGATAGAATATGATCCACAGTTTCATATATCTGCTGATATATTGAGTGCTCATATAGCATAGCATATATTTTGGGTACTACTGTATCCATAATATTTTGAAGCTACATGATTTAGGACCTAAAAATATTATAAAAATGTGTCGGTTTGCTTTTGCTTTGGGTTTATAACTTTGAATAGATAATGTGTCTCAAGTCATGAAGTGTCAATTCATTATGGTGTTCGTACTGTATTTGTGATTGCCTCATTTATGTCTTCGTATGTATGTTTTGTTTTTGGAATCCTTGAAGTTTTTCTGGTAATGCATTATTGACAATACATTATTTGAAGTATATGTATGTCCTACTTAAGGAATAGGGCACTAGTTTATTTCATAAAATATGTGTATAAATTAAAGTACTATAGTTTTATGGATGTATTGTTGAGTTGAATTATTGGAGGTTGTGCTGTATTCATAATTTTGAATTACAGTGAATCATTGTTGATTGTTTGTAATTAGTGTTATAATATGATTCAGCCCATCATTTCTACGAGTTACAAGACTCATGTAAGTATCTTTAGTAGCCACCAATTTAATGCTTACAGAACTTGGAGGATGTAAAATTGCAATTTCAAACCGCATAGTGGTGGGATTTTATATTGGGATGTAGAGTGTTTTTCCTTTCTGCTATGGTGTAGGAACAACCAATCAGAACAAACAGCGCGTTTTCTGTTAGCTGTCATTCGTCAGTATGTTTAAAAGCATCATGTGTATTGATCAATCACGTGACTCTGTGTCGGGCATGTTCAAGAAAAGCATCGTATGTTATGTCAGCTCTGTTAATTTATAAAACTGACACTGAATGGCGCTAGTGCTAATAGTTGTAATATACTCTTCGCTTAGAATTACGTAAAATTCCCCGGCGAAAGTGAGTAAGGTTGTGAGAAGTTTTGCTTGGAAAATGTTTACGTGTTCCTGTATAAACCCTAAACGT